TTAAGGATTTATGTTGCATCCTATTTGTGTAAAGTGCCAGGAACACATTCATTCCTCCTAAAAGTAAAAATATTACTAACATTCAAATAATAAATAGACTTTAATCCCAACTATAGAGGGCTTTTAATGTGATTTGTGTCCGTGTATTGAAGTGTGTGGAGTGAAGCATGAAGCCTCAGCATCACCCTGACACCGTGTTGAAAGCAGGTGAAGCATTGTAATGCGATGCTCAAAGTTGACCCTGTTTGCAGCTGACCTTTCGAAGCGCAGCCAATGATTACCGGATAATTCATATCCACTATTATTATGTGGGATGTGCCAGTGCAAAAATCTAAAACAAAATTGGAGAGAGACAGAGCAATTTCATATCCTGGAATATTTTTTTTTTGTGTCCTTTTTGTCTTGAGATTTATCAAGCCTACATATATTACTTTAATTTTGCACTACTCACTATTGACTTGACTGTCAATAATTCTATGCCTTCAACTTTGATTGCCAAAATTACATATTTATGTTTTTTTTTTTCCTGTGAAATATTTATGTCTTAACTTAAGTAGCTTGAATATAACTCTACACCCTTGCTTCATTTAGTATTTAAGCGGTCCCATGAATATGCAAATTAGCCCCACCTCCAATCACTCGCTCGAGCTCACAGATTCGCTAGGCCAACTTACTGAGGTAAACGCTGCAAAATGGTTTCGCTCTTTACAACGTCAGACACATAACGGTGATTACTATGATTAGCCTTTATCAAACCACTAATAATGTGTTGCTAATGTTACACGAACTATGTTGCTGTTCGCCATCTCAGTCTAAAAATCATCAGAAACACTTTGAACAACTCAGAGCGTCAGTGGAGAAAGGTATTAGTTCAGCAAATGATTAAATAATTGGCATTTTTTAGTTAACCATCGCTTTAAAGCTACACTGTGTAACTCTTTTAGTTTATTCTTAGCTAAAAACAATTAGTTCTTTCAAAAATATATGTGCGCATTAATGTATATTTACTTTGTTCAAGTAATAAAGTATTCTCGTGAGTGTATAATATGCCATTGAATATACATACGGGTAAGGGGTTCTAATGTCGGTCGCCATGTTGCCCCTCCATCTTGAAAGTACATAAGCCAAAGAGGGACATACCCGTTAATTCAAGCTTCGCCTTTCGCGTTTACGTTTGAGTTAACACTCATGGACGAGGTCGAACTGGAAGCCATGTTAATCTTGGACTACATTGGCCACCGTAGGAGTTAAAACGAAATTGAGAGGAACAGAAACTAATATAGAGTGCCGAAGTGATGACGTCACTTTGTAAGACAACTCGGAAGCTAGCGGCGCATGGGTTCCCTCGGTCGAAAAGCAATGCATTTTCCCCATAGACTTTTGGAAAATCGCAAAAAATAAGATCTGTGTTTAACAAAGGGTTGTGACACTTACACGTTTTGTCTATCAAGATAATCTTTACAAGTTAATCCAAAATTTATACATTTTGAAGCCTATATAAAGATTTTAAAAAACACAATCAGACACAATAAAGTTAAAAAAAAAACACAAACAGGTTATAACTGGTGTGTTTTATGTCATAGATCAAAACGTGAAAATATTTAGAGGCTTTGTTCACCACAGACCTTATTTCAGATGATTTAGCAAAAACCCATTCAAAAATCCCATAGACTTTAGAGCGAGGGAACCGGTAGTGCTAAAATGCTAACTCACTTCCGCGTTTTGGCCTACAGAGTGACCTCGTAACTTCGGCACTCTATTCACTAGATGGTCATATACCTTTTCACCGCTAGACGGGGGTAAAAATCACACAGTGTAGCTTTAAAAACAAACCAACAGCTCGACTTGAGTCACTTGACACACAATGTCGTATAAGACAAATATGAACTCTGAAAAGTAAAGTGTGAAATGTAATATCTGTGGGGCCGGGGGTTTCATTACAACGGGAACATTGTAATTAAAACTTCTAATTAAAGCCTTAGGGCACATTAAGATATTTATAATACCAGCAATCAAGTCAAAACTGTATTTCTCGTAATTGCATTCCGGAGAGATGCAAGCCAAGGTTATTTTCTATTAATGTTCAAAGCACAAAGAAACTTGTAACAGCAACAATAAGCAGGTTTTCCCCCTAAAGGCCCAATTCAGTGATGTGGGTTTTGAAGATCTGGCCGTAAAAGCGTCTAAATCACATAGTAAATCTATTTAAAGCAGAGGCAGGGTGTTTAAGCTCAGAGTTTCTGTAGACGGAGATGTTTTTGATTGAAAGTGTTGCTAATATCTCCAAAGGCCCAAATGAAGAGCTCTGACGGCGAGTGCATAAACTTTGCTGTCTTCTCCTCCTCAGCAAGTTCTCTGGAGAGAGTTAGATGAGAAGAGCTGGAACCCGTTTCAGGCCCGAGGATGTTAAGAGCCAATCGCATCACAAGATTGGCAAAGGACTGGGGCGGCGCTGGCACTGAGACGGCGGACAAACAGATTCTCACCGCGAGCGGAAAGTAAAGGCAGGTGCAGCTTAGCGACGTGTCAGTCAGCTTTCCCAGAACGTGGAGGGGTGGGAACGATGCCCACGCGCTGGGACAGAGAGTCCATACGGGCCGACAGATAAAACGGACCGCGGGCAGAATCACGGAGGGATGGGGCTTATGACAGCCGAGATGTGGGTTTGTGCTGTTCTGCATTCATCCTGCAGGCTAAGAAGTGGCATTGTTAGGTAGTTATGAGGCTTGGGACAAGAGAGCAAATGTTTCTGGTTACATTTTTTTCCTCTCAAAGGCCTTATGAATGTGAATGTGAATGTGAGCAAAAATAAGCAGGTTTTCACACTACAATCTTGATTCAGTGATGTGGGGTAATAGTTCCTGCATTAGAATAACTCGCTAAATGTTGTTTAAAAAGAGGATTTATGAGCTTAAAGGGATAATTCACTTTGAAATTAATTTTTGGTATGTTTTATCTTACCTCAAGGGCATCCAAGATGTAGGTGTCTTTGTTTCCAAGGTATTTGATATTTTTAGGTCAAACCGTTCTTGTCTGTCAGTCATATAATGGAGGTCTATGGTCACCACCTCAAAGAACATGCCCAGAGAAGTCCAAATTAAACATGATTTAATGTAAATGTAAGTACACATTGATGGCCTAAGACACGAAACGAGTGGTTTGTGTGAGAAAACGAACAGTATTTAAATCGTTTTTACCTCGTGTAACCACAGCCAAGTCCAAGTGATCTGAGGGCTCGGGTGCTTCGGTCTGCGCAAGCGCTGGAAGTGATTTCTCGCGCATGTACGTCACTCGTTGTTTACACAGAGGTTTCGGAAGTGTTACCTTTCACTGTGAAGATCCAAATGTTTAGTCTCTTTGGCCATCAATGTGTACTTACATTTACGAGTCATTAAATCATGTTTAATTTGGACTTCTCTGTGCATGTTCTTTGAGGTGGTGACCATAGACCTGCATTATATCACTGACAGACAAGAACGGTTTGACCTAAAAAATATCAAATACTGTGGAAACAAAGACACCTACATCTTGGATGCCCTTGAGGTAAGATAAACAAAAATTAATTTCAAAGTGAACTATCCCTTTAAATGAGGACATATAAGAGTGTCAATGATAAAGGAAAGGAAATTCTTTTAAAAATATAGATAAAACTATTTACGACAGAAATTTTTTGTTGTTGTTGTTTTTGGCACGATACAATATCGATTTTAACAACCAACTATTGGCCAATTGACTGATATTTGTCCCTTGCAATCTTATTTGAACTTTTGTTATTAAAATTGATTATTGATTTGATCATGTATTAAATAAGCAAAGCACAAAAACACATGAATTGAGGTATATTAACTAGTTTATTGCTGCTTCATGAAATTGTGGATTGGATTCATTAAACATTCAACAGGCCAACATTATAAGCGAGGAACTAAGATTTAAAAGAAAATTACAAAATACAAATGAGACTTGACAACCTTCAGACGTAATTTTTGTAATAAACTTTATATGTGCTGACAAACCATGTTTTGTAACGATTTCCTTTTGTTTTTGCAAGTATTTAGAAATATGTTGGGTTATGCAACAGATATTATACAACTGATTAATAAACTCAGTTTGTTATATCTGCCTTTTCCATGATAAAGCTGATATGTCGATCAGCTTTAAATTGATCAAAATGCAGCCGATAAAGTTCTTAAAAATGGCAAGTTCTTTAAAATATACTCTTTGAATTCATTTGTTTTTCAAAATCATGTATGCCATTTTCAATTTTTCCAAAAATACAATAATAATATTGAGTAATAACAATTTCTAAATGTATAAAATAAAAAAATAAAAAAATAACTGTTTAAAATGTCAGGACAGCTTTTATTATTATTATTATTATTTTATGGGAGCTTGTTTCCGGTAATTGTGACTTTTTATCTCACAATTCTGACATTTTTTTTACAATTGTGTGTTTATATCTGGTTATTCTGACTTTATTTCTCACAATTTCAACTTTATAAACCACAACCTCACTTTTGTTTAGAATTGTGAGATATAAACTAACAATTGTGAGAAAAAACTCAAACTCGCAAATAAAAAAAAAAAACAATCATGAGACAAATAGTAACAAGAACCTTTTTTATTTTTATTCCGTGGCGGAAACAAGCTTTCATAGTTTTCTGCAACGATCCCATTGAAAACCCATTTTGGCCTCCTCACAGAACAAGAGCATTTCTTTAAAATAACCATTTTCCTTATTGTGAAGATTTTAACAATCTAAAAAAAACCTTTTGCAATAAAGAACTTTTTTTGCAATAAAAGGGTTCAATGGAAGTTCGATCTCAATAAAGAGCCTTTATTTTTAAGAGTGCAAATAAGAAAAAAGCAATATTGACTAGATGACTTATCTAAATGTCTTCTGAACGCCAAACAAACAAAAACATGTCAGTAGTAAATTTGATGCAGTGACAGTACCTGGTTAGGGCCAGTAATTCTAGTGGCATATGCGTTTATATACATACCCTACTGAGAGTAAGGGTGCCTTGTTTGCAGTCTCTACACCGAACGCGTAGTTTTCCAGGCTGGATGGCCTTGCAGACCGCCTTACAGAACACATAGAAACTGCTGTGGCCTTTGGTTTCTGCAAGAACAAACAAAAACATCATAAAAACAAGCAATATGGTGAAGTGTGTGGGGTTTTACACACTTTTCAGTTTCCTATTACAGTTTCTACTATCTCAGTGAGCTGACAACTATTATTAAACCATTTGTTGGTTGACATCCTAAAGCATTTATTGCCAGTTGGTCAGCAACTTTATTAAGATCTGCAACATAAGACATGGTTATATCACTTATCGATGATGATGTAAGATATTCAAATCAAATACGGTCTACTGAAGAAAATCATGAATCTTCTAACTTTTACATCCGTTGTAAAAGTGCCAACACATATGTGAAATATTTCTCACATTAATAGAAATATGTGGATCAAATTCTGAAATTTATTATGTGTCTTCACATTTTGTAACAGGTGGCGTTTTATGGAGAGATTGAGTCTCATCTCATATACGCTGTGAGTGACACATGACCTGCACTATTTGTTACTAATATGCAAGAAAATATCCACAGGGACAAAAATATAGATTTATAGGTAACACTTTAGAGGTAACATGAGATTCGCAGAAACTGTATGTGTTATGCGACCTTTAAAGGACAACTCCGGCGCAAAACGAACCTTTGGTCTAATTACACATTGTTACCTAGTCAACCGTTATCTGAGATTTGTTTTCATGATTGCCGAATGTAAATAGTTAAAAAACAGTTTAGCCTATAACGCTAGTATAACGCGAGTATATAGGGCATAGAGTAATGACAAATAAAAATCGCTTGGTATTACCACTAAAAAGGCTCAAAATAGCCCCACACTAACACGACAGCATAACAAGGGTCCCTACATTCAAACCGAAGCATTGAGAACTTTGTCAGTGTCCATACAGTTTAATAAGAAGATATTTTATACACACAGTAAACTTTGCGAATACAGGAAAAATAGTCTCTACCAGTCAAACTACGAACGCTGATCCAAGTGCGCTGGTGAGATGTGAATAAGGTGATAAGGTGAGCGCGAACAGTAGGCTATGTGTACATATTGAAGAGAAGAAAACGGTTCGTGTTTGTGTTTCTTCCGGAAACAACCGACCATATGAGATTCTGCACAGTTCAGCGCACTTGGATCGGCGTTTGTAGATCGACTGGTAGAGACTATTTTTCAAAAATGGCTTCTTCCTGTATTCGCGAAGTTGACTGCATGTATAAAATATCTTCTTATTAAACTGTATGGACACTGACAAAGTTCTCAATGCTTCGGTTTGAATGTAGGGCCCCTTGTTATGCTGTCGTGTTTGTGTGTTATTTTGTTATTTTGAGCCTTGTTAGTGGTAATACCAGCGATTTTTATTTGTCATTACTCTATGCCCTATATACTAGCGTTATACTAGCGTTATAGGCTAAACTGTTTTAAGTGATAAAACTATTTACATTCAGAAATCATGAAAACAAATCTCCGATAACGGTTGACTAGGTAGCAATGTGTAATTAGACCAAAGGTTCATTTTGCCCCAGAGTTGTCTTTTAAGAGTGGACACTGTAGCCCTCATGGGAGGACAACTTTTGTGTGCACTAGGGTTGGGTATCTGTTGGGTTTTATCCGATACCAGTACCTACTCTGTATTTTTTTAAACGGTTCCGGTGCTAAAACGGTTTTTGAAATGCTACTAAAGAAAACGAAACTGCACACACTTTGTCAAAAATTATACCCCTTTATTTCCAGGGCCAAACTGGACACAATATTAACTTATATCTTTAAACGATATAAATAGAAGCAACATATGGTAATAATAAATAAACCAATATAAAATAAAAATTCACATTTACATAATTTCAAATAAAACAATATTGCACCGAAATTTTCGTTCTTATTCGGTCCTGTTTCCGTCAGAACCGGTTCCCTATTGGCACAGAGTTTTGGTACTCAACCCTACTGTGTACCAATAGGTAGATAGGCTACAGGTAGAGAATAAGTCAATATGTTTGCATTCTTTTAACTCATTTTTTGTTTATAATGTTTGTTGCTGAAATTTCACATCAAGGAAATCAAGTGCATTCTTTTATTTAAGAACGGATGGGATGAGCTGAGCAAGAGCAACATTGCAGACTAAATCTTATCAAGCTTCTGTTTGCTTTAATTTTGTATCCCTTGCTTCTTGTCCTCTATTAGTGAACAGCTGTGGAGTGTTCTGAGTGAGGCGCAAGTGTTGGTTAGAGCACTGAGTACAGAATAAGAACAAGGTGTAGAAGCTCTTCAACAAGCCACCACAGTCCCAGGACAAAGAGCTCACGATCCAATTACCTAGAATAGAAGATCCAGACATCTTCTCTGCATATGATTTAGTTGAGAGAGGACATGTCCTATCAGTCTGTCCCATCCCAGTTTAAATCACTCATGCACGCACACGCACACACCTGGGAGCAGCATTCTCATTAGAGCTAAAAGCATGGGGCAGCGAAGAGGTACAAGATACCTTGACACAGCTAACAATAAATCGAGCAGAGTGGGTTTTATAAGACAGGCACCCTGTTATTTATGATTTCTGCATGATTCCTCCATTATGCTAATGCTTTTACAGGGAGAAGGGCTGGATAAAAGAGGTAGCATGATTGGACTAAGTAGCCGAGTGGGCCGCTAGCCAGAGCGAGGTTGAAAAGGGAAGGACGGGAAGAGGACAGCTTGTAAAAGCGGCGCCATTGTGGCAAATGACAGCATCCACTTCAGCAACCGGTGCGCTTACAAAAACATTCAAATGCTCTCTCTGAGAGCTGCGTATTACTGTTGAAGGAGGTCGAAAAAGCCTCAGCGGTGCACAAACTAATGTAAATGAAAGGATATACAGTACTTACAAAGGAATTCTAGTTTGGCACTAAAAGCATCATATAGGAAGTGAGTCAGTGGCAATTGCAAATATTGCACAGGAAGAACAACGTCCTATTAATGTACATATAAATGGCAATGACAAATATATATACAAAGTATATATACACTCACCTAAAGGATTATTAGGAACACCTGTTCAATTTCTCATTAATGCAATTATCTAATCAACAAATCTAACAGTCTCATCCCAAGAAGTCATATAACTGACGTCTTGGGATGTCTTTTGACCATACGTCAACATCCGCCATTTTAGGGTACCCTTTAACGTCAGTTACATGACGATCCTGGGACGTCATACAACTGACGCTTTACCTTTAACGTCAGTTAGGTGATGGGGTAGGTTTAGGTCTGGGGTAGAGTTAGGATCCGATAACGTCATCTAACTAACCGACGTTAAAGGGTACCCTAAAACGGCGGATGTTGACATATGGTCAAAAGACGTCCCAAGACGTCAGTTATATGAAGTCTTGGGATGAGACTGCGCTGACCAATCACATGGTAGTTGCTTCAATGCATTTAGGGGTGTGGTCCTGGTCAAGACAATCTCCTGAACTCCAAACTGAATGTCAGAATGGGAAAGAAAGGTGATTTAAGCAATTTTGAGCGTGGCATGGTTGTTGGTGTCTGAGTATTTCACAATCTGCTCAGTTACTGGGATTTTCACACACAACCATTTCTAGGGTTTACAAAGAATGGTGTGAAAAGGGAAAAACATCCAGTATGGGGCAGTCCTGTGGGCGAAAATGCCTTGTTGATGCTAGAGGTCAGAGGAGAATGGGCCGACTGATTCAAGCTGATAGAAGAGCAACTTTGACTGAAATAACCACTCGTTACAACCGAGGTATGCAGCAAAGCATTTGTGAAGCCACAACACACACAACCTTGAGGCGGATGGGCTACAACAGCAGAAGACCCCACCGGGTACCACTCATCTCCACTACAAATAGGAAAAAGCTATAATTTGCAAGAGCTCACCAAAATTGGACAGTTGAAGACAAAATGTTGCCTGGTCTGATGAGTCTCGATTTCTGTTGAGACATTCAGATGGTAGAGTCAGAATTTGACGTAAACAGAATGAAAACATGGATCCATCATGCCTTGTTACCACTGTGCAGGCTGGTGGTGGTGGTGTAATGGTGTGGGGGATGTTTTCTTGGCACACTTTAGGCCCCTTATTGCCAATTGGGCATCGTTTAAATGCCACGGCCTACCTGAGCATTGTTTCTGACCATGTCCATCCCTTTATGTCCACCATGTCCCCATCCTCTGATGGCTACTTCCAGCAGGATAATGCACCATGTCACAAAGCTCGAATCATTTCAAATTGGTTTCTTGAACATGTCAATGAGTTCACTGTACTAAAATGGCCCCCACAGTCACCAGATCTCAACCCAATTGAGCATCTTTGGGATGTGGTGGAACAGGAGCTTTGTGCCCTGGATGTGCATCCCACAAATCTCCATCAACTGCAAGATGCTAAACTATCAATATGGGCCAACATTTCTAAAGAATGCTTTCAGCACCTTGTTGAATCAATGCCACGTAGAATTAAGGCAGTTCTGAAGGCGAAAGGGGGTCAAACACAGCATTAGTATGGTGTACCTAATAATTTTTTAGGTGAGTATATATAAAAATCAGCACACACACACATTACTTTTAACCCAGGCTGGAAAAAACGTACCTCTGGCGTGCCAAAATGCAGACTGATCTCATGAAATGGCATATGTATGACACGCCAGTTCGTATTTCTATTTTTGGCGTGCTATCAACACGCATAATCGCTTTTCAGCGAGTTTATCAACGCCGTTGACTTAACGTTACATTACTGTATATATAAATATATGACCTACTCCTTGAAGAGTGCTTCTTCACTCTTATAAAGCACCAACTGCCAATGGATTTAAACATATATTTCATCCACACAAACATACGCACATAAAACAACAGTTCCACCGCCTTCACCTGTGTGTCCAGCAGAGTCCCCCTGTCTGGACGCATCTGTCTCCAGAATGACAGCCAGGCCTTCAGATGCGGTGGTCAGACGGGAGCTACTGAGGTCGAGTCGGGTCAAGCTCTCGGTCCCGTGGCTCAGCATGCGCTGCAGGACCAGCTCAGAGCGCCGGGTCGAGGACGGGGGCAGGACCACGTGAACCGTGCTCTGCTCGGGGAGATCGCAGCCCTGTCACAGAAGAGGACAAGCAGATAGTTACAGCTTCATCCATGTTTAATATCACTATACCTCAGGGATTGGTCTGTAATCCATCATGCACCACTACACTCTAAAGAAACACCTATGCTTTTGTCAGGTTTTGGATTTGTTCTAAGATTAATGTGGTTGATGTCTTCATGTAAATTGGATTTCAAGATGATCCCCTCTGTAATAGTTCTCACTGGTCCATTTCTGTTAAGCAATTTAGGGTAATTATTAATGGAAAAACTGAATGTAGTAACCCCATGTCAGATCAAAAATTGCTCAGAAAAAGTTATATTTTATTTTATTTCTGAAACCATCCTCAGTGTCAGTGATATGAATAGTAATTCTATGGTGCTGTAGTCTCAAAAGCGCACTGCGAGAGGATCTTTTCATCCTGTTGTCTTTCATTTCTGTCTCCAGCATGAGGAAAGAAAGGATCAAACTTTGCCGTCATAAGTACCTTCACAAATTCAAGTAATCAAGCTGGCACATACGCCGCAGACCGGTGGGATTGTAGCGCCGGAAAAACAGGTAGAGAGAATAAACATGCCAATCACTGTAAGACACTGTCAAAAAGCTTGTATCTTGCAGAGAATGAAGGGAAGATGAAGGTAAAAACAGCATTGTTTGGAGAAGGCAGAAAAATGATAAAGATATCATACAGTATGAGAAGCACTTTAATACGGTACAATTCCCTTAAGTATTCGCTTGATTGTCCTTAATTTCCTTTCTGAATATGACTAAAAAAATTGTCTCTTTGAGTAGAAATGTGGTTTGTAGAAGATGTTCAAATATATATATGCTCACCTAAAGGATTATAGGAACACCATACTAATACTGTATTTGACCCCCTTTCACCTTCAGAACTGCCTTAATTCTACGTGGCATTGATTCAACAAGGTGCTGAAAGCATTCTTTAGAAATGTTGGCCCATATTGATTGGATAGCATCTTGCAGTTGATGGAGATTTGAGGAATGCAAATCCAGGGCACGAAGCTCCCGTTCCACCACATCCCAAAGATGCTCTATTGGGTTGAGATCTGGTGACTGTGGGGGCCATTTTAGTACAGTCAACTCATTGTCATGTTCAAGAAACCAATTTGAAATGATTCGAGCTTTGTGACATGGTGCATTATCCTGCTGGAAGTAGCCATCAGAGGATGGGGACATGGTGGCCATAAAGGCATGGACATGGTCAGAAACAATGCTCAGTTAGGCCGTGGCATTTAAACGATGCCCAATTGGCACTAAGGAGCCTAAAGTGTGCCAAGAAAACATCCCGCACACCATTACACCACCACCACCAGCCTGCACAGTGGTAACAAGGCATGATGGATCCATGTTCTCATTCTGTTTACGCCAAATTCTGACTCTACCATCTGAATGTCTCAACAGAAATCGAGAGTCATCAGACCAGGCAACATTTTTCCAGTCTTCAACTGTCCAATTTTGGTGAACTCTTGCAAATTGTCGCCTCTTTTTCCTATTTGTAGTGGAGATGAGTGGTACCCGGTGGGGTCTTCTGCTGTTGTAGCCCATCCGCCTTAAGGTTGTGCGTGTTGTGGCTTCACAAATGCTTTGCTGCATACCTCGGTTGTAACGAGTGGTTATTTCAGTCAAAGTTGCTCTTCTATCAGCTTGAATCAGTCGGCCCATTCTCCTCTGACCTCTCGCATCAACAAGGCATTTCCGCCCACAGGACTGCCGCATACTGGATGTTTTTCACTTTTCACACCATTCTTTGTAAACCCATAGAAATTGTTGTGGTGAAAATCCCAGTAACTGAGCAGATTGTGAAATACTCCGACCGGCCCGTCTGGCACCAACAACCATGCAACGCTCAAAATTGCTTAAATGACCTTTCTTTCCCATTCTGAAATTCAGTTTGGAGTTAAAGAGTTAGTTCACCCAAAAATGAAAATTCTGTCAGTATTTACTCACCCTCATGTTGTTCCAACCCCGTAAGACCTTCGTTCATCTTCGGAACACAAATTAAGATATTTAAGATATTAAGATCACTCCTGCATACTAGTCCATAGGCTTCTTGACGGAATGACTTGCTGTCCTCCAAAAGTCATTAAAGACATTGTTTAAATAGTCCAAGTGACTACAGGGGCTCAATCTTAAGTTTATCAAACGACGAGAACACTTTTGTGCGCAAAAACAACAAAAATAACGACTTTAATTCAACTATTCGTTTATTTCTCCCTCTTCGTGAGTCAGGTTACTAGTTTAATAGCTTAAGCTTCTGTTATTGTACATCACACGCATCACACACATGACCAGCGTCGGCCAATAGTGAGCCTACGTGTGACGTAGCTTTACGTAATCACACTACGTTAACTGACTACAGGCCCATGGAGAAGTAAGTGAAGCACTGTAGTCACTTGGACTATTTTAACGATGTTTTTAATGACTTTTCAATGCCAGCAAGAGTCATTCCCTCAAGAAGCCTATGGACTAGTATGCAGGAGCGATCTTAATATCTTAAATATCTTAATTTGTGTTCCGAAGATGAACGAAGGTCTTACGGGGTTGGAACAACATGAGGGTGAGTAAATACTGACAGCATTTTCATTTTTGGGTGAACTAACCCTTTAAGGAGATTGTCTTGACCAGGACCACACCCCTAAATGCACTGAATCAACTGCCATGTGATTGGTTGATTAGATAATTGCATTAATGAGACAACAGGTGTTCCTAATAATCCTTTAGGTGAGTGTATATATACACACAATATTTATTCACTCACAAAAAATTATCCAATTTTTAGATCATGCCGATTCACACACCAATTATTAAACTGTGACGCTCTATCATTCTTTACCTCTTGTTGAGCAGAGAATTATTTCTACCTGAAAAAATAGCAGAATGTTTGATGCAAATCAGACAAAAACATTCCTCCAATAAGAGAAAACCTCTCTGACAGGGAAAGTGATTCTTTTGTCTGAAACCGTTCTCAAGCAAGTGTCCATTTCTTAGTTTTAGCAAAAGACAAAATAAAAGTGTGAATCTCATCTTGTCCATTTTCTCCATCAGTCCCTGAGGGTTGATTTTTTCAATGGCATAACCTAAATAAAAGGGTAACTAAACCTCTAGTCAGAGCCTGATTGAAAAATGCTGGAAAAGTGGATGGAGGGGCGTGCACCTGAGACGCATCTCTTTGTAGGCAAGGGCGTGGTTAGCTGGTACTCTCTGACATCACAGAGAACCACAACTTCCAATAGGAAAATTCAAATGCAGTAGCCACCGTTCAACCTGAAGAGGGCAGCACTCAGACGTTTTTACACAATATATTGTAGAATAAAAACACTTTAAAACCAAATGTCAAAAAAATTACTTGAATCAATGAACAGCATTAATAAAGCCCCAGTCTTACAGATCATTAACTTAAAAAAAGATTGTTTTAGGGTTTAGTTACCCTTTAAAAGAAAGACCCTCTCGCTTCAGGTGAACGGACACCCAGCAAAGCCTTATCACACTTTCCTGTAAGAGAAATGAGACTTCTAATACAGGCTGAAAGAAAGATGGGCCGCATGCTGGGAAACAAAGCGGCCATAGCAACACATTGCTAGATCTCTATCGAGAAATGCAGTAATGGAAATTAGCATTGATCATGGTAACATGATGGATGCTTTAAAGGCCGCTGTGACATAAAATATGCTGGTCAATATCAATTGAGTCGCACGGCAGTGCATTTCTGATTTTGCATTTGTGTTCCATGACAAAATAACAGCGAGACGATCCTTTGTATTCGAACGCTACGCCTACAGAACTCGCGATAACCTCTAATTCACATTAATTGAGCCAGCAGTTTTCCTGATAACTCCAGTTCTCAGAGTTAAGGGGAAAGCTTTGGACAAAAATAACACTAGAAATGCACTCTGAGATAAAAAGCAATTTCCAGGACGTGAACTTGTGACATTTAGAAAAAGCATTGATCCAAACAAAACACACACACACACAGCCTGAAAATTGAACACAAAACCAAGAGGCGGAAAAATCGTCCGTAACATAAGAATAAAGTCTCCACAGCAAATGAATTTGAGGTTGTCAGCCCGCCTCGATGCTGACTTTTGTTTATGCATATATATGTCTATTTTTTTCTTTATTTTTTTCATCTTCAAATCCACTCACTTTGGGGACAGAGCGGCGCTTGTATTCCTGATGAGCAGAAAGTGCCTTCATTTTACGCACATGTGACCTTCATCAATTGAGACATTCTCTTGGGGGAGCCTGATCAACAAGTCAGTCTTTTAAAGACCGGGACACTGTGCATTAATAACGACTTGGCTCTTAAAGATACGCAGCGGCTGAATTTCAATGCTGAAAGCACGGAGACAATCAATTTATCTTTCATCTGGAATCATAAGCAGCCCCAGAGAGTCTGGACACTTTCTCAAGGTCATTTATGGTCATTGCTGGCATCAGTACTCATATATTCATCTATATTTCATCTTAAAGGGACACTGTATTAGTTTAGACTGTGAGCTGAATCTCAACTGTGCATGATTTGCAAATAGTTTGTCTTTGAATTAAAAGTTGAAAAATGGATGTTCTACAAAACTTGGCCCTACTGAGGAAGTTACTACACTAATTTCCATGTTACTTTTAAAAAAGATATTTCAAGTTCCAAAAAGGGGTTCTCAAGTTCCAAAAAGATATATATATATATATATATATATATATATATATATATTTATTTATTTATTTTTTTTGCAGTGATGCCATTAAAGAACAATTTTGGGTTCCCCAAAGAACTTTCAATCACATATTGAAAAACTTTTTAATAATCTGAAGAACCTTTTCCACTGTAACTTTTGAAGCAATGGTAAGGTTCCATGGATGTTTAAGGTTCTTCATGGAACAATAGATCCCAATAAAGATTTTTTTAAGAGTGTAGTACATATATTTTAAGCCTTCTTATAGATTTTTGTGAAGAAAATTTATGCAGTTAAACCATTATTTACTGAAAAACCTGGTCT